GCAGTGTTGCCAGCGGCGGCGCCTGGCGAGAGTCCTCCGTTGTTTTGGTTCTGGCAACAGTGACGGGTTCTCGGGGCCTCAGACAGCCGAGGAGTGTCCTCGATACAGAGATTTGTGCACGAAACGGCGATATATCATTGTAGGATGTCCCCGTAAGACTCTGAGACGCGGAGGAACACTCCAGGACTTCGCTGAGGAGAGGAGGAGCCCACAGAATTGGGAGAAGGAGAGAAGGAAGTGCACCCAGTGCGGGGGGCAATTGTTCCGCGTTTGGTGTCTCGGAATCGGAGACTGTGACAGGTGTGTGTGTGGCCTTGGCTCTCTCGGGCACTGTGGGCATGGCATGGGCATTTGGGTGTGTGGAGGCTGAGAACAGGTCTATGAAGTGTGTAATGGAGGTTGGGAATATTTTTTGCGACTGTAGTGACCTCGTTGTTTAGGGGTTGATTAGTGTTGACAGAGCAAGAAGATTGGTTAATTGCCTGCAGTTCAATATAGCAGTTGACAGGCTAAATTTCTAGAATAGAACCAAATCTTAAAGCCCATTGAGTTTGGTATCAATGGACTGCTCTCTCTGTCTACTAACCAAATGTAGTACCAAATAGAAGACAGAACTAATAGATATCCATTGTATAAATGGCTGAGAGGTCCCTTGATTTGTGCAACTTGGGACTGAGAAAGCAGTCAGACATGTTTATCTCACAAACCATCACTCAGATCTGTTTATACTTGCTTGTCGGTTAGATATGTTAGAGACTTTGTCGCTCAGATGACAGGCAGAGGACATCAGTCCTTTCCTAAGGTGATTATTAGCAAAGCTAATTAGAGGTGGAGGAGGTTATTTCAGCTTTATGATAATCAAAGCTAATTAGAGGTGGAGGAGGTTATTTCAGCTTTATGATATCATGGCTGAGGTTTTAGCAATTAACCAAATGCCTGTGGGAGAATTCAGGGTTTGCTGGGCCTGCCTCGGAGGCTTCAGATGCGGTTGGTGCATCACACGCTGTGTGCCGCACCAGTGAAATTATATTATTTATCACTTTTATGCAAAATGTGATTTTGATTTTGTGCATATATGCTTAAAAATAACAGCATTGATTTTGATAGCATTTATAAAAACACTTTTCCTACTAACTCAAGAAAGGGTAAAATCAGGTGAGGTCACCAGACCTACTAATTTACTCCTTTGTGGCTAAACACTTGTAGAGCCAGCTATGTGCAGAGATGTTTCACAAACCAATACTATAGTGAACACATTTTTCTAGAGATTTTGGGTTAACTAAACTAGTCATATTTCTTGTAATGGACATAGAGTAAGTTGCACAAGACCAGAGTAGGTAAAAATTTTGGGTTTTAACCAGTTTCTGGTTTTGATGAATTTAAAAGTTTTGAATGATATTGGACTTTGATTTTAATCCAAACCATGACCCAGCTAATTTTGCTTAGCCCTGCATTCCTACCACTTTTATGGAGCAACATTTTCGTAATTTTCCTTCACTTTTCTAGCCTAAAAGAACCCATGATATATTTTGCATCACCTGACTGTTATTCTTAGTAGTAGTAAACTGCTGCTTCTTAGCCCAATGCCATTAGGTGGCATGTACATACTTGTGCTATGACAATTGTGGACAAAGTAGCGGGTGGTATTGTATCATGACCTTTCCTACATTATTGGCTCATCGGATGGAATTTTCTGTGATAATCGTGGCATCATGTTGCCTGCAAACTACTGAATGAGTCAGGCTGAAATGGGAAACTGTTCATGCACACCAACAACCCTGCATTAATATCCATTTGCCAAATTTTTTAACCCAGGGTTAATGTGTTAATGGAAGGTTTCTACTGACATTGAAGATCAGGTTCTCAAGGAAATTTTAAGATGCTCAATTTTTGTGTTGTTTTGTTATTGTTTTTGCAGTGTGGGACATATGTTGAAGGTATTGATAAGGTAAGTTCAGAGGTCCCCTTTCTCAGGCAAGCTTTCTTAGATAGTCTAATGTGAGCAAGTGATAGGGCCTTGATTGTCCAGTGAAGGCAGAAGCACCAACATGAGGTGTTGGCAAATCTCGCAGTGACGTTTCATGCATTCAAGGTCGATCTGGAATGGCCTTCTCTACCTCTTTATATCCTTGGTTTTAGGGGTTAGAGCTCTAAACAAAGGCAAAGTGCACAAATACTGCTTAATCAATACTGCAACATCTTGATTGGTGCAGTGGTATGCGTGCTCGTCTAGCAATCTTACAGACCTGGGTTCAATCCTGCACTCGGCCAGTGGATGGTACCCTTGGCCATCCCTTGCACACAGGAGGAGATTTGGAAGCAAAATTAAACAGACAGTATGTCACAGCAAAGAATATTCATTGTAACAAATGGAATTAAAACTAAATCTTTAAATCTTTAGTATACCTCATATCCTCCCTACCTTTTGGACCATGTATTGTCACTGGTTTTGGTTAATATCATCAATGTTACTATAAATATACACTAAACACTTCAAGGAATCTATCGCTACCAAATTTGAGTAATTTTAAGTTATATGCTTATTCTAGAAGATTACTAGTACTTGTTACTTTTATTAATGTTTTGGTATTAAGAGGTAATATTTTAGCTCCAGTGTCTGGAAAGAAGAAAGAGAATAATAAGTTTATAGAAGTTACCTAATTTCTGGCTTGGTTTTGGCCTAATTAGGTTGATGTCAAAATCCAAGTATGATGTGTATGAAGAATATGTTGAAAGTAATAAATTAAAGTTCAGGTCAAGTGCTGGAGCTATAGCAATAGACTTTTTTCAGGTCAAGTGCTGGAGCTATAGCAATAGCCTTTTTTGTAAATTAATGACTGGTAGGATTACCACTATTAATCCAATCATGATGGGAATCCTGTCCCATACTGAACAACACATAAATGAAATTAAATTGTGATTTTTTTCCACTATGATAACAGGAATCCATGGAATTTGGAAAAAGTAATTTGAAATTGTGTGTATAAGCTATTTCCTTGAGAGGTGGCCCTCATTATAAAATTGTGTAAGATATTTTGAATAAAAAAAGTGTTCAAGGGTAATATGTGTCATGCTTAATTTATTCTATATTTAGTGTAAGGATATATAACTGAAATATTGTTGCTACCATAAGAATTTCTTTTCAGATATTTTGCAAACATGTGGCAGCTTAGATTACTTGGAAAATTGATTTTAGTCCTGCTAGGAGCTTCAACATGGGTGAGTTGCTTCTAACACTTATTTGAGTAGAGTGTGTGCTTACGAGGGTTCTTACATCACATAAGTTTGGGTAATTACGGCTATCAGATGTCTCAGTGTTTGCAATTTTTCAGGCACTTACCTTATCCATCCCTGAGGAGAATAGCATTCAGCCCACGCACAGTTCCTCTGGCCCATGCCATGTTGTGGAACCAACGGAGGTGAGTAGGGTATGGGGGAATAAGTACATAACATGTACCGTTGAATTTCAAGAACTTGGTGTTACAAATTTTTGTGTGTTAAAGAGCAAATGATCTACCAGTAGTGGCAAAGCTATAGGGAAGAGCAAGAGAGAAGAATGAATATTTGCCTACCCTTTTACCACTTCATTCTGTTGTTTCAAAATTATAATGATAAAACACAAATAGGAAGCTGCTCAAATCACTGTGGTGATGGATTGATAGAATTATGACTCAAGTTTAATATGACAGATAATTTTCATTTCTACTTATTTTCCACCCATTTTTTTTGTGAATCCCTCTTTTGCCCTTTGTTTCTCCCCTTGGAAATACTTTTAGATCCACTTGCGTTATATTAGTAACTACGAACTTTTATATATGATTTTCCCATATCCTGTTGTAGCATAATACTCTTCATTCTGATTTCCCCTAAGATTGTGTGCAGGGGAATGCAATCCCTTGAAGAGGTGTCCAGCAATATCCCAGAAGAATTAAGGGCACAAGTAACAAAACTCACTTTGGAGAATGCTGTACAAGGAGTCTGGACAAGGGATGACCTAGTAAAGCTGCCATCTCTGCACACCGTTGTATTCAACCACAGGTCAGTGTGCCAGGAAATCTCTTGATATCACAATTAGAAATTGATTTTAGTTTTGCCTTTGAAAAAGAAATTTACATCTTATTGCAAAGTGCAACATGATTTATGAAATAATTATTTACCTTGAAATTATGCTTATTGATAAAAATTATCAAATGATCATTTTAATAGTAAAACTCCATGTAAATTGGTAAATCCGATCCAATGTTCTTATTTGATTATTAAATGTTTTCATAAACTATGTAAATGTGACAGGAGTGGGAGAGGGAAGGAGAAGAGGAAAATGGCCATGTTATCATTATTTTTGCAAATTTTACATTACAATTTGCAGAGAGATGGAGGATTGTTCTCATAATGATACTTTTATTAAAGATTTTTAAAAAATCATGAAATTACTTGGCCTATGCTCCTCTGAAAGTCTATATCAGGGAATTATTCATAGGATTATTCAAAGATGATTTTGATGCATTACATTGTCTTTGCAAATTTTTTTGTTTGGAATTAATTACATGCTCACACAGCTATTTTTCGGAGTGGGAACTTCCCACACGGCCAGATGCTCCTTCCCTCTCACGGTTGATACTAGAGGACTGCTGGAACAACGATACTCTCAAGACCTCCAAGATGAGGTCCACACTCTCCCTTACAACTGAGGTAACTTTATGAAAAGTGGTTGACATGACCTAACATGAACTTCAACCTTGAGAGAGATATCAGCTAAGATACCAGTTAGGGCATTATGAGTAGAAATAATGTTCTGTCTTCTCTTTAGACACTAGCAGGTTTGGGAGGGTTAGAAGAGTTTCACATCATAGACTGCTATGTCCTCGACTTAAACCTCAGTACCATAGAGACTGTAAAACCTCTCCAACTTCTCAATATTGTTGGTAAGTGAAGGGTGTGTTGTGTTGATAGTGAGTAATTAATATATGGTATTTCTAGTTTCATTTGTACAATGTGTCTTCATGTAAGGCAATTGCATTGATCTAACATTAGAAGACCAGTGATTAGAGATGAGTTTGCATAACAGCGTATAACTCAAGAAACTTGTTACGTTGCAGGTGGAGGCCTCAACTGCACAAAGGACAAGCTGTGGATGCTGGAGTGGATGGACGAAGGCCGAGCGAACATCACAAATACCACTAAGTGCTTCGTGGTGAGCTCAGGGGAGATGACTCTCTTCTCTACACGCTATAGTTTCAATGACCACCAATTCTTGCTCTGCATGAAGTATGTGAAGGTGAGAGAAGTGGAGTGACTTGATTTTCCGGCAAAGTTTGTTTTTAAAAGTGTCTTTATTTGCTTTCAGTAATGGCATTTAGGGGTTATATATATATATTTTTTCATGTCATATTACCAGTTTGTTCATGAATAGCTTATAAATGTTTAATTCATTTAGTTCAGATTTATGAAAAACAATGCTGAATGAAAATGAAATTTGGTAGTTATAACTGAGGCTGGCAGTATTGTACAAGAACCCAAATAATTTTCATCAGGAGACAGAGCGCGATTGCCCAAGCCAGTGCCAGTGCAACGTCCAAGGCTTCAAGGAGAGTCAATACCCAATAATACACTTGCTATGTGAGAGGGTTGGCCTCACCCAACTGCCTGAGGTCATCCCAAGATGTACAACACGAATGCAGTTTGGATGGAACAATGTAAGTACCGAGAACAGTGAAGCTATTTTCATTATGAAAATTAACTCTAATATCTAGTTCTTTAACAATGTGGTGGACGAACAATCTCATGGGAATTGAGAACTGCCTGGCATATATATTAAGTTTAAATTTAGTTTTAAGCAGTCTGATTAATTTAGACTTTCCATATTATAACTCCCTCCAGATCACTGACATAAATACGCTCTTCACTAACAAGAACTATCGGAGGATGGATTCCATTCTCCTGAACAACAATCAGATTTCTTACATCAACGGAGATCTCTTCTATAACTACATCAAGGGCCGACCACTTGATGTTTACATCAATCTTGCAAACAATAAGTTGACAACAGTAAGTTGCTTAGTACTATTTGTGGTACATGCACTTTTAAATTTCTATCTGAAAGTCCATGACATTTGAACAGTATTGATGCTGAATGTATTGTTACATTACAGTTGCCAATCAAGGAAATCAACAGGATATATGATGAGGCACGCAAGACATCGCAGTTCTACCCAACATTCAATCTGGCAGATAATCCCTGGAACTGTGACAATTGCTCCTTCTTGCCAGAGTTCCAGGTGAGACTTTGGGAGTTATTTTTGGGAGAGAGGCAGACATAACTGTCAAATATTTGATATTGGTTTGAGTGTTCAGAAGTTTAAAGACAAGGCAAGAGCCTAGGAGTAGCCTTGATTTTGCATGGAAATGTGACCATATAATACATAAACCATATGTTTGTCTTATCTATGGACAGGTTCTTCATGTGCTAAACCTGTGAAATTCATAAGCCTCACATCATTGTCTTCCTTCCAGAAACTGGTGTATTACCAGAGCACAATGATTCCTGATTATCATGACATCCGCTGCCCGAGTGACAGTGAACACCATCCCAAAGAGCGTCTGATCTTGATTGATGTCGAGTCACAGTGCTCTCCAGGCCCTCCCCTGCTGAGTTTGATTGACATCCTCAATATCACCCTGGCTCTTTTGCTGCTCCTTCTCATCATTAACTTCCTCCACAACTTCTACCAGTACAGACGCCATGGGAAGTTGCCCTGGATCATCATTCGTATGCCCTTCTGCTGAGGGAAGCCAGCTCCAAGGCCTATGGGATACAACTTGGCTTGTAGGAAGATTTAGGGGTTGTTAGAGCATCTGGGTATTCCTTCTGTTTCTTTCTGTCTACTTTTGTGTTCTGTGTTTTTTTTTATTAAGCCAGTACTAGAGGGCTGCATTAGTTCAATGTTGCAGTAGGTCTCCAAGCCTGAGTTGCAACAAGAGTAGTGATAAGGGCAGCTTGAATCTTGTCCTTTAATGTATTCTATTGTGTTCATAGTATGGCAGAATGAGTGCATGTTCATTAACCTCATTGCTGTCATTGCAATGTTTTGAGAAAGAAGTGGAATTTGAGTTCATGAAATGTACCTGAGATGAAGAGTTTACTGCTAATAATATAGTATATTCATATTATTGTTTTCCTTTATAAATTTTATATGAAAACAAATAATATAGTAGTGGTAAGTGTGAAACGTGTCCATTGAGTGGTTGTCTCTATTGCTTATTCTATAGTATTTTTTCATGACTACAATAGGTCAGCAGATAGTTGATTTGTTGTATGACTGAATTTTTTGCTGGTTTTTAAATATTTTATCTTATAGAATGTAGCTTTTGTTCATGTATACTATTCCAGAATTCCCAATTTCCCAATAGAGAGGCTGTCACTGCGTTGTGATCATGTAATCATCTAGGGCAGTTATTAAGATAGGAATTGAATATGGGAATGCAAGGATCCACAGTAATAACTGTGATAAATAGCCAATAGTGAATTTTAAAAGAAGAGTTAGTTGTGTTGGAAAAAATGTTTAGTTACAAAATGGTTTTATTGTAGTCTTGCTTCTGCAATTGATTGATCTTAAGACTCATCCTGTGACATGTACATAGAGATGATAGCAACTATTGTGTAATTTGTATATCAAAATCTTATGAAAAGTATTTTTGTAATAACAGGCAGATGCACAAACTTTTGCACATGGAGGTGTATATCAACACACAAACATAAAAGTACACACAAGCATGTATACAAAGGTGGGCATTACTGTCATAACTTTTTTTTATTGATAATGGTACCAGCATTATTTTTTAAACCAAAACTGTTAGAAGTATCATTGGTAGTTTTGTAGTAATTTTCATTGCTTTATAGGGTTGTCACTAATTTATCCTGGTGTCAATGTTGTATTTTTTTAATGTTATGGTTAATGGTTAGAACAAATAAATGTGCTAGACATCTAAGGTCATATAGCACTATGATTTTTGTTTAATTAGTCTGAATTAGGTGGGTATTGCCAGCACAAATTCATCTCATAGGAAATGGTGGCTACTACAACATGATTGGCACCACCAAGAAAAATATTTTGCTGTGATGTCAAGAAAACATTATTTCTTTCTGCTTAGTGTTATTTTACTCTTTTGCAAAAATAGAGCTGAGAACTAAACAAGGTTTTACTCCCAAAAATTTGTATTGGCACTTGGCATATAACGGATTTATTCAATTTTTTCAAAGAAAAAAAAGACCAGATAACAGTAGCTCACTAAATGGTAACATAACCACTTGTGAATTACTTTAAAAGTATTGTTTGTCCACCACTGCCTGTCAGTGCATGCACACATGCCCAAATCCACCCATATATCTGAACATACATTCAAACAAACAAATATAATTGAACATTCATTATATAGGTCTTGTGTACCTTCAGATAAGAATATGATAGTACAGTAGTTAATGGTAAGCATCTTACATCTGTTTGTACAGCATTAAAAAAAAGTAGAGTTGGGATTGCACACTCTTGCTGAAGAATGGTTTGCATAGGACTTTTTTTATCTGACTTGCTCCAAGACATCAAGTTTTAGAAGGAAGGGGAACTTTTTTCATATCATTTGTGTGTCCTTGTGAGAGTAAGTTAGCAAGTGAATGTGAGTGAGAGAAAATGAGTGATTGAGAATGAGTTCTTTGGCAGTGTATGCTGCTTATGTTCAAGTAACAGGCCAGGTCTGCATTACTTCCATGAAATAGTGCTTAAACAATTGTAATTAATCAAGAAAAAGTAGAGGATTTTCAGATTATTAATTCCCCCATAAGGCATAATTATTTTTGTCAGATAATGGAGCAATCTTGATATTCCTTTTGAAAAGCTGGTGCTGAAGAATGAACTGCTGTAGAACGAGTCAGGAAACAAAAAAAGAAGTCAAAAATTATTTTTTTTTTTAATCTAAAAAGTTGAGAACAAATAAAATGGTGTCTGCATATTATTTTTATTAGGCTATCATTAATGAAAGCCATGGATTTATTGCTTATGCACTGCATTTTTTTAGGTAAATCTTGGAACTAGAAACCAACTTTTGTTAGTATACATGTTTTTTTTTTCTTTGGAGCTGCTGCACTAGTCAAAGATATTTTTAGATAAAGGGCATTTGTTTCTAGATCCTTTCCACAAGGACATATAGCTTTTAAATAAATAAATAAATAAGTACATTATGTATACATTTTTGTGGAATCCAGTGATGTGCATTGATATCTTTATTTAGTAAAAGCGAAAAGCAAGGCATGGTTTGCAATTGTGGGATTTGTTTTCCTGATCCCACACATGTTTGTAGTGCATTTCTACATTTCATTTATTTAATGCTTGGTAAGACTTCTTCAGGTACTAACTGTAATAAAACAAATAATGCATGCTTACAGAGACAAAGTTCAAGGGAGAATTGGTAAATAAGAACTTGATAGCAAAGGAGGTTTAAGGAGCATGGTTCCTTTAACAGTACAATGCAAAAATAGTTTTATTAAGAAATTAGTGATTTAATAGTAGTAAAGTACATGGATCTTTAAAAGTTTATTATATATTATAGCAGAGGTGAGAGAGAGAGAGAAAACAAAAACTTGAAAGTATTATAATTTATCTTGTTTAATAGTGCAGTTACAATGGCAACAAGGCTGCTAACTTAAAGCTGCATCCACATGAGGAGCAGAGCCCATGCAGATCCAGTGCTGAAGTTATATCTCTTTCTTCCTTAGCAGTCCTGCCAGACTGAATAGTTCCAGGGTGATGAGTTATGGCCTCTATAAGCCTTAATTTGTGATTGGCCATTTTGATAGTTTACTCAGTTTTCCCATCTTTAACATCATACCCATGGGAGCCTGGCTACCTTCCAACTTTTTTTATTGGACCATCAATTGGTAATAATGCTTCCTAGCACGGGTACTGCCCCTCATGTGGATGCATCTTTAGCCTAAACAGATGAGCATTTGCAAGTGTACAGTATATTTAATCCTTTGTTATATGCAGATGCATAGTTTCAAAATGAAGGGTGCTATTAAGTATGTATTCAAGTTTTACCCATAGTCATTCTGTCGCTATTTGATTTACATCAAGACATGTCTTTCAGAGTGTATATGAAGATTTTTTTTTTTTTTTTTTTTTTTTACAACACTTCATCATGTATCTCATATATTTTCTAATTTTACCATGTAGTGTTCTCATAATGGTTCTTTACTATAGAAGCAAATGTTGATAATAGAAGAGAAGGGTATTACACCAATATTGGTCTTTGCCCAGTTTTAGGCAGATGATCTGTGAATTGCAGTAGGCTTCTGCTGCTTGGCATCTGGATAAAATGGATTATTACTATTTCAGAAATTTTATTAGGGCATGATATAACTGCGCAGTTCATACATTTTTTTTTTTTTTTCTTCTTTTAATGTAATAATCATATTTCCACTACTATCCTAGAGCTTGTTCTATTGTGTAAGATTTATTTATAGTATGTCAGCTTGATAAGATGAGGCTTTATTGAGTTTAGGGTGGAACTAAGAGATGTGCTTACTACAAAATATTTAGCTGATGAGTTTGCATTTGCAAATTTGACTGGACCATAGACTTTATATTTTCAAAAACTCAGTTGTTATTTGCATTAATCCCTAAAGGATGATATATAATAATCATCACTATTAGGTGTAACTGCTTGGCAATGCAAAATATCACAAGTTGTTGGACTGCGATTTTCTTGATTTGTTTACACATTCTTTCAGCCTTCCTATTTTCCCCACCATCATGTGGAAAGACAGCAAACTCATTTTACCTGCTAGGCTTTCAATTTCCTTGTTACAGGATTTTAAGGTTTAGTCTTTTTTCTGCCTTATCTTCTACACACAGATCTGGAGTTTCCCATTCTTTTGGGAATGCACAAAGTTTCAAAGACTGTATAATTGGTGCTAAAGCATCTGCTGGAAAAAATCTTCATAATACTTGTTCACAAATTTTGTAACATTTTTGCTTTTATCTTTCTGGTAGGAAAAATGTATAGATTATGCATCACAAAATAAATAAAATTTGCTTACTCTGTTTCACCAAATCCTTTAAGAAAATGAATTGAAAGTAATGGTGTAGAGTCAACCTCCTGTACAATAATCTACCCATCAATTAAAGTTGCAGATTAAAGATCAAGCTTTCATGAGAAAGGACTTCACATTGTTAAAGTAAGTGTCCTAATATGGAGCATATTAACTTCATACTACCAAGGATGGCATGTATGTACATCATACCCACTGAGTTTTGATTTTAAATGTATTTACAAATAGATGGCTCCACAAGTGCTTAGTCACCAAGTCAATTCATTAACATTGTCACACCTGTTCATCCTTTTTTCTTGATTTTTGCTTAAAAATTCTTTTATATTACTATTCCAAGCTATTATAATTATAATGTCATTGATAATGTGTCTGATGTTAAAAGCATAAAAAGAAAAATCTAGTAATTGACTCCTTGGTGGTATTGCACTTGTGGAGCCTTCTATGAACACATACATTTCACAAAGCAATACTACAGACTAAAACGAAAACTAAACATTCTCAGCAATAGTAGGTTAAGGTTTCTTTTCACATGTAATTATTTATTCTGCTGTCATTCGTCCAATTAAGATATCTGTAAGATGTTCTTTCTTCTTGTAAGGGGGAAGACGGCAATTTTTAACCCTTTACTAACTAAAAGGGCAGAATAAGAATCTAAATTCTTGAAATGCATTTCCATGTGGTGACAGTGGTTGCACTCTCCAAAGGAATGTCCATTAAGAATACATTAGACGCTGTATCCCTAATATTCCACAATTGCAGTTGTACTCAGAATGAATACAAGGAGAGAATTAGCTGCTACAAAAAAGAAACATTTTATATTATTGGCTTGTAAAGGTAGAAAACTAGCTGTGCAGTAGAGATTTATCCAGATAAAAATGAAACAGTCTCCAATTTTAATATATTTATTTCCAATTTTACAGACTTATCTTGCTAAAAATGTGTCACCAAAAATGAGACCACTCTTTATTAGCTCATTATGGGTACCAAGTTGGTAAAATAATTCAAGAAAGAATTTTACAATCAACACATTTTGCTATATATATATATTTTTTTAAAGGGAACAATATAAAAGGCTAAATTGGAATTCCACAGATTTTATTGTACTGTAAGTGTATGAAACAAAATGCAAAAGTGCATGATAGCAAAATAATATTTTCACAAGACAAGCATAAACATTAAAAATGCTTTTTCTAAAGCTAGTTTACAAACAGCTACAGCAAAAGCTTTAAGATGAAGTAGAAAGGAATTGATTGTGAGAAATTATAATATAATATATAATATAATATAATATATAATATATAATATAATATATTATAATTATATATTATAATTATAATATAATATAATATATAATATATATATATAATATATAATAATATATATAATTATATATTAATAATATTAAATAAATAATTATATAATATAATAAATATATATCTATATATTATGTTGAACTTTGCAGTTTTTGTTGTTTACTTAGTTCAAGTTCTTTGGCTGACTGCAGTTGGTACCACAAAATCTGATAAAATCTTTTGAGGTATTATACTTTCCTTACAGTACCATAAACTTTCATAAACAAAATAATATGTATCCTTCCTCAAATTTCATACACAAAAATTTTAAACTACTATAACATCTAGAATAGAGTACTATATCCAAAAATACCAAAATAAACAAAAAAATACTAATAAACAATAAATCTAATTTGTAATATTCTGAGATCTTCCAGAAGTATATGTTCCATTTGCAGTGCTTTGGGTGTTACTCAGGACCCTATAGCTTGGAGGAAACCTAAAGCATGCAAACAGTAAAATGCTTTAGCACATGCTTCATCTTTTTATAGAAAAACTACTTCTGTAAGTCAATGTAAAATAAATACAAAACACAAAAAAAGGCAATATGGAAAACAAAATAACTGAAGTATAATTACTGATTATATTTCACTTTAGAAAATGAAAAAATTGAAGAATCTAAACAATTTATATCAAACTACTTCCAATAAAAGACAAAAATCAAAATACCATAAAATTCTTCTAAAGTAAATTCTAATACCATAAAATTCTTCTAAAGTAAATTCTAATACCATAAAATTCTTCTAAAGTAAATTCTAATAACAAAAATCAAAAGAGAGACAATACTGAAAGAGAGAAAGAATGCCCAGACATAATCAATGAAAAGAAAATACAAAGAGCATTCAAAATTACCTACTAGAGTGTCTACGAAACCTTCGTTGGTACCTTGATCAAGATTGTCTTAATTTCCAGGTATTCTGCCAAGCCATCTTCACCTCTGGAATAAGCCAGGATAGTGTGTAAATAATTATGATAATAAGAAATAAACACAAAAGACAAAACTAAGAGAATATACTGTAATACATCAATGACAAAACTGTAGCAGAAAAAAAACTACACACATTATAGGTTTGTCAAAAGTGAGTTTTTCTGCCATTGGTATATACAATGAAGTTGGTAAAAAAAAAAAAAAAAATCAATTACCTATGAAGTTTTCTCATTTTACAAAAGAACTTCAAAAAAGTATATTATATGAGTAGATAATTATATCAGCAACAACAAAATTCATAAAAGAATCTTTGGCAGAAACAAATAGTCTCATCATCAAAGCAAAAGCCTGGACTACTTCAAGCAAAGAACTGATCCCCATACTTACAGTTCCCTGCCATGACCTGACTGCTTGTAGCCTCCAAAGGGTGTCTGTGGCAGACAGAGATCATAACAGTTCACCCTGAAAATATAAATGTAATTGAAGCAAAAAAAAATTATAAAAAAAAAAAAAAAAATCATAAACTTAGAAATATAAAGGGAAAACAGTAATTTTCTATGAAAAATAAATATATAATAATCAATAAATAATAAATAAATAAATACATAGCTTGTTTCTTTTACAAAATGAGTGTCTTTATTGCCCTTCAGATATATTTTTTTAAATGTCTAATATGAATGCCTCCTCATTCCCGTTTCCCCTTATCTTTGAACTTATAAAATGTTTTACCTTTACAATACATATAATCTTTTTCCTGAAGCACACATGATGAATATAAAACAAAAATATTTCAGGCCCTTCACTCCATGGAAAAAACTGTATGAAGACTTACCAAACAGAACCAGCTCTTACACTCTGAGCGTAAGTCAAGGCTTTGTTGATATCACGAGTTACGATCCCAGAAGCCAGGCCATAATTTGTGTCATTGGAGCGCTCTATGGCTTCATCCAAGGTCTTAAACTTCAGAATGACTTGCACTGGTCCAAAGATCTTTGGGAGTGGCAAATAAAGATTATCATTTTAGAAAAGGGGATCTACAACAAATATAAAATAAAAATTTTATACTCTACTCTTATGCCTACATGAAAGCATTTTGTTATTATTACGGAATCTTTAAGAAACAAACCGTACCTCCTCCCTGGCAATGGTCATGTTATCTGTGACATTAGAAAACACTGTTGGCTGAACAAAGTAGCCTTTGTTCCCCAGACGAGCTCCTCCACACTCCAGCTTGGCTCCTTCTGCTTTGCCCTTCTCAATGTACCCAAGAATGCGCTCCATTTGCTGTTGGCTCACCTAGGAGAAATGATATGAACTAAAGTAATCTTTGACATCTATTTAACAATACTTATGTTAGCAGGTAAGACATTATTTAGTCTGTTTCAAAACAGTATCAAACTTTGGGTAAGACTAACTTGCGGTCCCTGAAGGGTTTCTTTGTTAAATGGGTCTCCTACTGGACGCTTCAGGGCCAGCTTCACTGCCCGCTTCACAAATTCATCATAAATGGACTCATGCACAAATGTTCTTGAACCAGCACAGCAATTTTGTCCGTGATTGCCAAACATAGCACTGTGGCATAAATCTGCTGCTTCGTCCACTGTGAGAGATATTATGAAGATAAGAAAATACAAAAAGCCAATCAAATTGGATCTTCATTCTAATCTAAATCATTTAAACACTGTATTCAGCAGATGAGAAGATAGGGGGTAATGTACAAGATTTTCACACCAAAGACTGACACGAAAAGAAAAAGTAGAAGATTCAACTTACAATCTCCACAGTCTTCACACACAATAACAGGACTCTTCCCTCCTAGTTCCATGGTGACACGCTTCAGGTTTGACTGTCCAGCAGCTTCTAGGATGCGTCGGCCAATCAGAGTGGAGCCAGTAAATGCTACCTATTTTGTTTTGTATGTAAAAACTATTAACAAACAATGTATTCACTAAATACTTTAAATAGTCACTTTTAAGCTTTTACTGACATTCCAAATCATGCTGAAAAATATTTCATTTTACATATTCCATTACTGTACACATGTAAGCGTTACCTACCTTATCAATATCAGGATGATGAGCAACTGCATGTCCTGCAGAGGCTCCAAAGCCAGGAACAATATTGATGACTCCAGGTGGGAATCCAGCCTGAAAGTAAACAATCTCAGATAAATTAAGAGTCAGTTTAGTTGAATTTTTTATTTCTTCAAGGGCATTATCATTTTCATTATCATAACAGTTTATCATCATCTATGGGGGGGGGGGAAGTAGTTTTTTTTCTAGAAGGTAGATGAAAGTCAATAAAACTGAATGAAAATATAGTTAAAGAAAAAACAATTAGATCTTCCTATCATCACTAAAAACTTATAAACAAGAATCTAAGAGAACCTCTTAATTCATTTTCAAAAACCCAAATCTTTTGTATAAGCAACACAAACTTAAAAAGTGCAAGTAGCTACCTCACCTCCTTGACCAGAGCTCCCAGATAAAGGGAGCTGATTGGCGTCAGCTCAGCTGGTTTGAGAACAATGGTGCAACCGGCAGCAAGAGCTGGCCCCCATTTCCAGGCAATCATCATCACAGGGTAGTTCCATGGGATAATCTGGCCCACAACACCCACTGGCTCCTTCCTTGTCATACACAGGAATTCACCATCTGTTGGACCAGATTTCATGAATGTTTACTTTGCTTCATGTTCCAAGTTTATCAAAGCATTAACAGAACAATTTTTTCTATTATACTTGATACAACAATCTACACACGTAAGCTAACAAGTGTACAACTTCATTTTTAACAGTCTGATCTTAACACCTTCACTATCAATTACAGTTTCCTAATGGCACATTCTTTCATCACATATCAGTATACCAATTTCACAACAATCTGCACTTACCACAAGGAACAGTGTCTCCATGGATCTTGTCGCACCACCCAGCATAGTAACGGATCGTTTTCACACTGTATTCAAGGTCACACATGGCCTCAGTGAATGGTTTACCATTGTCCAGAGTGTCAAGACTGGCCAAGTACTTCATGTCACGCTCTATCAGGTCACACAACTGCAATATGAAGTGAAGGTCATAGCACTATAAAAATTACCTTATAAGTATCTGTAAATATGGTGCACCAGAGATATGTGCATATCTATGCCTAATCCTCTACTCCATACCACAAAAACATACTGGTAAGCAACCTGAGAATACTTCAAAGTCAAATAGTAAGGGTATAGCTATAGTACTTTTCTACGTATCTAGAAAGGGTAAAAGGTAATAAGAACGACAGGCTTGCCTTGTGCATAAGGAGGCCACGCTGGGAGGCATCCATTGTCCTCCAGGGGGCAGTCCTCTTAAATGCTGCTTGGGCTGCTTTCACGGCTGCATCAATGTCTGCCTGAAGAGTGGTTGTAACTTAAGAATGTTTTTGCCTAAAGTTTTGCTACGGAAAAAGTGTGGGAACCAAATACATACACACTACTGAAATTTGGAATGAGGAATAGAAATATATATTTGAAGATATTATAAAATATATGCTCAAAGTGTGGGCACTAAATACATACACACTATTATAGTTAGAAATGTACATTTGAAGCCATTATAGAATATATGGTCAATGTAAATAACAAAGCTGAATAAAGTAATCCATATTTACATCAAATTTCAATAAACTTTTCCTATGGAATCTGTATTAGCCAAAAGATCTAAAAACCACTGTGGATGGACACACCTCTTCACCCTGTGCTATCTGGCAGATGGTTTCCTCTGTGGAAGGGTTGATGACAGGAAAAGTCTTACCATTCTTTCCATCCACAAACTCATTGTTGATGAAGAGCTGTAACAGAAAATGGAAATATGAATTATATTAGGGTAATTCCTTGCAGTAAGGACACACACGCCAGAGACTAAGTCCCCAACTTCATGTCAAAAATTTCATTCATCAATGTAAGTTGCCGTGACTGGGTGTGCCCGACTGCCCAAGAGGAGGGTTCTCTGTGCCCCAACAACCCCCGGAAATCATTGTCTTCACCTTGGTATACACAGAAAGATAGAGCTGAAATTTTGGAGTACCAAGTGGACTTAGGCTGAGAGTGCCACTTACTGCGATCTTTTTCCATTATTTGTGCCGTTACTGTTCATCTCTGCAGATTATTCCTTATACTGACTACTTAAACTTTCTGTCATCTACAAGAATATCTTCAATTTACCCTAACTTAGTACATCCATACCATAAAGATTAACCTATATTCCTGTATTGTCCACATGAATATTTACCTAAAATAACAATTTTTCGAGTAGAAACTCTTGATAATACATTTATGACCATGCCATCACTGTCTGATGACTTCTACAACCAACACTGAAGGACAATATTTAAAACCAGCAAATATAATCATTCAAATTCCTTAAAATGTAAAAAAAAAAAAAAAAAATCATACCTATATGGAATAAAACTGCATCAAGCATTCCACTTTTCTTGAGGGAAAAAGCCTGGAGACCCCACCATGTACATCCTGGCTTATTTCACCAATCAACACATGTCTACTAGCAATGTGCTGCCAGAATACATCCTATGGGTTCTTGGGCTTTGCTAAAGGTATCCTTTTTAATATGTAATTAAGCCAATATCTTTTACTTTGGCATAACAATTACTATTGTAGTGAGTCTCATTCTGGTTCTCCTATATGGAATTATCGTTTATGGTAAAATCTTGCAACAGGACTAAGCTCCGTACAAATCAAGTCAATCCTAATTGCACAAACTATAATAAAGATTCCCGCATGAACTAAAACTCTTCCTATGTAGCAGATTTCGCCTCCATACTACCCTCCAATCGCTGTTTCTCCCTAGCTGGTGTTTTCTTTTTTTTTTTATCATCATTTTGCTTCATCCTTGTATTTTTTTTTATTTTTTTTTTTACATGGTCCTATTCTGGACAATTACCAAAAATACTTTTCTTACTAAGCTGAAATACCATTATTTCTAGTTACTGAACTTATATAACAAACAATATACCAATAAACAAATCTGAAAATAGTTTTTCCTGAATTCCTTTCAGAAACCATTTACCTATATGAAAATAGGTAAAAAAAAAAAAAAAATTGAGGAAATTTTGAAGAGGATGTATAATGAGGGCAAAAAGTATTCAGATCCAGAGGAAAGGAGAGAAAAAGATGATAAACAAGGAGGAGACAGCACGAACAATAAAAAGCAAAGAGCCTGGAAGAGCATCATATTATGGTGCATTTGGAACTGCTCATCTATCTCATCCAGACCAGTTGGACAAGATGTTTTGACTGTTCGGAACCTCCACTAACTCGTCCCAGACAAGTAGTCTAGCTTGTCCAATTCGCCCTCCTGCGAAGGTGGCCGAGCAGGACGAGATGATGTCTCAATAGATTTTGTTTGTAAACATTGACAGTTGCAGGTAACCACAAGATATTGGTGGGTAATTTTATGACCCTTTATTGGTGTTATCAAAGGATATTTTTGTGTTTGTCAGTTGCAGGTAAGTTAAATATGCATCAAAGGAGTTACAAAACGTGCAGCGTGAAAAATAAAGACACCGGTATGATAAAGTGAATGTTTACATTTGAGCCGGTTGCATTCTGGGCAGAAAGGGTCTTGGAGGCTCCGAACGCGGCCCACTTGTCCTGCTGGTCCTGGACAAGGTGTCTGGACGAGCAAGACGAGCAGTTCCGAACGCAGCATTAATAGGAACAAGAGACGAGGGTAAAAAGCCACTTTAATTGTGACGACAACAGTAATAGATGATGAGATAATAAACCAATAAACATCAAAATCATCCTGGCTGGCACAATCACCGCCCAGCACGCAGACTCACAGCTGGGAGTCAGCCCATGGCAACAGGAGCTTGGAGGTGCAAGAGACGCTGAAGTTCAAGTTGTTTTATTCTTGATTCACTATGAAGGGTGAACGATAAAAAAGTGTGCGTTCTTTCAAATTATATTCCTGTTGTGTTCTATGTAAGTTTCCCTGCATGACACTGCTTCTTACACTGTAAATTCTATGCTTAGTTTAGCCATCGTGTAGGCAACACTTTAACCAACATGAGCCAGAAAAAAATCAAACACATTGACGATCATCCTAATACACAAAAAAGGTGGCGACAACAAACCTTGGTGTACTTGATATCTGGATTTCTAATTGCCATTTTTGGAGAAGCGAGAGGGAATTGAAAAGGAAGATGAGACTGTACTCTCCTCGCCGAAGTCCTCAGTAACACTGCCGCCGGTCGGCTTCCCTGCAAGTCCCTTGGCCTTGGGTTCCTGTCTGTCGTAATCATTAGAGAGGCCAGTTGATATAATTTGTGTATGTATGTATGAATTTACGTTTTTCTTACCTTATTAGATTTAAACAGCATGACCTAGCAGTTTTTCATCCAACCCATGTTTTTTTGTTTTTTATTGTTTCCCATTCCTTCTTGCACTTAAAAAATCTACCCACCCTTCTTGTACTTTAAAAAAATCTACCGATTATCTTGTAAATCTAAAATGATGAATACTTCCAAAATGCTTTTCAAGAACAAGACGCACGTGGCACTTCAAAATCATCCCGGGTCATTATTATGATTTTTTTCATGTTTTCGCCATCATCTTACTATTTAGTTATATTGAAATTTAGTTGGAACGAGATAACGCATGTAGTACTCTCTTGTGATCTCAGATTCTGTCCGTATTTACCAGTTCCTAATACAATACTACGATTGACAATGCAAATAAAGACTACTTTAGCTGATTTTGATTTTGAACAGATCATTTGGACTAATAATACAGTACCCAAACAATTGGGCATGTTTGGGTAATGCAGTATTTATCCAAATAAACTGTTCAAAATCAAACTCAACTAAAGTATTTTTATTTGTTTAAGTAGGCTTACTTATAAGGAAACATGATTATTTATAAAATATTCTATTTTTTCATGATAACGATCTTATATATATAGTAGTAAAATGGATAACGAAAATGCTCTGACAACTATAAAACCAATCTTTATTTCAATGACACTCAAGTACAAAAATGACATTCTCCAGATAATATCCATCGCGCAGTTTCCTCGGACAGCTCTTTGCTGCGTTGAATCGTGTTGGAGGAGGGAAACATGTTTTCTTCAGGATACTGTTCAGGAGGTCCATAGAAAAGCATGCTTGTTAATAGTAAAGTAATTAAGAAAAACTCAGCACATAATTGTTCTTTAAAACACTGGTTCATATTTGATTTAAAACGTCAACTTGTGTGACTCTGGCCATATAATTTTTGTTTCACTAACCTGGAAATATGAGTTCCATGCCCACAGCCTCTGAACTTCAAAGATTCCTCGTGGGATTATGATGGTTTTTATATTCATTACCATAAGTTATTTCCTTTATCAGAATATTTGATTATTTGTGTACATATATACAATTTCATTTTCATAATAAATACTAAGTATGAAAATTCTAAGACGATCGATGTTATTGCCAAAAATAACTCTAAATGGCAACTCAAGCGATGGTACCCATGAGGTTCATGACGGACACTTGACATAACAGTACATGATTGGTGGGATTAACTTGTCCCTTCTGCGCATGTGCAGGATTAAAAAATGAGCTTAATATTAAAGCCTGGTCTAGAGGTACATTATAAGTTGATCCTGGACGCTACCAACGCGCATGCGCACAAGATATGGATTAAACTTTAATACCGGATCAACTTTTATGACACGTACAGAAGACGCCCATAATCATGAAATACCAAATTACCTAGACCTTGAAATTACCAACCAAGGGTCGTACCCAACCACCTGTTAGTCGAACCCCGCATATAATGCTCGGCATGTGGAGCAGAAGGAAATTGACTAATAAGCCACAGAGCTCAATTAACACAGGGCTCAATGGGGATGACGCTACCTCCCTTCTATATTCCTTGCTTGTCTTCAACAATCAACAATGCAGCCGATTGTTTGACAGTTGGGCCCCGAGAAAAGTTTCTTGGTTCAAAGCCCATTGTTAGCAGTATTCATTAGCGGATTATTGTTGTTATTATTATTGTTATTGTCTCGTTTTGTGCCAAGTTATCAATAACATTAATCTTAAAATCAACTTTATCATTCATATTATCAGTAATTACTTTAATTTAACCCAATCACGAATTGCATTTCGATGCTTCATTTTTGTTGCAAAGATGATACTAGTTTATGTGAAATATCAAAAATACAATTAGCAAATTTCCTGTTCTTGCGAAAATAAAGTCAAAGGGAGGGCATTGTACACACACACACACACACACACACACACACACACACACACACACACACACACACACACACATATATATATATATACATATATATATATGTATATATATATGTATATATATATATATATATATATATATATATATATATATATATGTATATATGCGCGCGCGTGTGTGTGTCTGTGTGCCCGTGTATGTATATGTTTCTGTATGTATGTATGTGTGTGTGTGTGTGTCTGGAATGCACGTTTATGTATTTGCTTGTATTTGTGTACGCATGTGTGTGCGCACATACACATACACGCCACACACACACTCACACATACACGCGCGCGCGCACATGCACACACACACACACATATATGTGTATATATATATATGTGTGGGTGTGTGTATGTGCGCGCACGCGTGTATGTGTGAGTGTGTGTGTGTGTGTATGTGTATGTGCGCACACACATACGTACACACACACACACACACACACACACATATATATATATATATATATATATATATATATATATATATATGTATATATATATGTATATAAATATTATATATATACATTTATATATATAATATTCATTTTATCCATTTACTTATATATGAATATATATATACAAGTATGTATATATATATATATATATATATATATATATATATATATATATATATATATATATATATATATATGTATATATACTTTTAAGGCGTCACCAGTCATTAAAGTGGTTTAGGGACTGTGGATTAACCTTTGGAAAAAAAATGGTCCGTGCATGTCTGTTGACGCTACACATTGCAACCTAACCAAGGGGCGGGGAGCTTCTGTGGAAACTGATTCCCGGGCCTTCGTAAAGGCAACTGTGTAGTCCCTCCCTTGGGCCTCGCAAAACGACTATTTACCTTTCGTGAGTCATCGGTGATTTATATCCGTCATTGATGAATTACTCAACGTGAAATATTGTTAACACATTACAAATCTGATATATATATATATATATATATATATATATATATATATATATATATATATATAATATATATATATAAGTGTACATGTGTGTGTATGTGTGTATGCGCGCGTGCACGCTCTCTCCCATCGTAGCAAAAGCTTTCTGATTGCCATTTGCAAGAAGGCAAATCGATTATAGTGTAGATGAGGAATAGTTAATCTTGACAAGGCAATTACCCATAGATTTCATTTTATTTTATTTAATAGAAAAATAAATAGGAATTGAATTGCTAATACCATTGTTTCCTATCGCAACACTTAAGGTTAAATCTTAATACTAATTTTTCCTTCATACTAATTTTTTTTGCGCTGCGTCCGGCCCGCCACAGGACGACACTCAGGGCCAAGTTAGAGCCCCAGGACAGCAGGCGAGCGAATCCGAGGCAGCGCCGGTAACCATGCAGGATCACACCGCGCTCGGCAGGGGGCAACTCCGACTATCAGACCTCCTTCAGAATGGAGCCACAGATAAGCTCTTTTAATGCAGTCAAGTTTGGTCCCTGAAATGACACGTGTTTTTTTCGGCAATACGATGTCGCGCCATTCATCTTAAAGCTTGTAGTGGACACGAACGCCATGTAAATACTTCAGACTGAGGTCGTATTGCCAAGGACACGATAACTGATTAGAGATGGGCCCGGGAGGTTGCTACTGAGCATGAAGTCTTGCCAGCGGCGAGGTGATCTGGTCAAGATGGCTTGATTATTTTTACTTCTGTTACATTAGTCTGTACCTTATGCCCCTTTATTATATGTAAATGGAGCTTATGTAACTTGTGAAAACTCACTAATTATAATTGGTGATTTATTGTGCGCTTTATCTTTTGTTGCATACTCTTGTGTCTCGGTTACCCTTAGAATATTTGATATTGATCCTTACTTTGCTAGCTCCCGAAACAGTTATTTCTCCACGCCTGAACTGGTTTAATGTATCTTTAGATTCAAATTTTAATATTTATTTAGCAATGTTACAAAAGGACCGCTTATGTTTATTATTTATTGGGTCTGATGTAAATCCGTTACGTAATGTGCAGCATTTAAGAAATAGTATGGCGCCCGTCATCATAGGAGTGAGTGATGGGCACTTTTGCAATGCAAATATTTGCTTACAAATCTATCGCTACGTGAGGATGACACCCTTTCTGGTGATCAGCGGAAGATCTTGACCTATTCCTCTCTCTCTTTCTGTCTATCTATCTATCTTTTTATCTATCTATCTCACACACACATACTCCCCCACTCTCTCTCTCTCTGTCTTCTTATCTATCTCAGACACATACTCCCCACTCTCTCTCTCCCTCTATCTATCTATCTACCTTATTATCTATCTATCACACACATACAGCCCCCCCCTCTCTCTCTCTTTTCTCTCTCTCTCTCTCTTCTCTCTTTCTCTCTCTCTCTTCTCTCTCTTCTCTCTCTTCTCTCTCTCTCTCTCTCTCTCTCTCTCTCTCTCTCTCTCTCTGTCTCTCTCTCTCTCTCTCTCTCTCTCTCTCTCTCTCTCTCTCTTCTCTCTCTCTCTCTCTCTCTCTCTCTCTCTCTCTCTCTCTCTCTCTCTCTCTCTCTCTCTCTCTCGTGAGGCTGAAAAGATATTTTCATACCCGACACATTTTGCCTGAAATTTCAAGCAAATATATAATGTAAATATGCCGATCACATTCTACGTTCTGTATATGGACAGATACCATAAGAAATCAAAAGAAAACAAAAAACAGTTCAGAAAATGCGACATATCTTTGTTCTGCATTAATTTCAAATATTATCGGGATTACCTATTTCTTAAAGCTCGCATTCTCCTTTCAATAATTTTATTTTTTTTTCTCACGTTGCTATTACTTGGACGTCTACTCAGGGATCCATAACCGAGTCTACTTGGTATGTTTAGACCGTCGACATTGGGAAAGCTTTGAGCTGGGTGCTGGTCTTCACCTTTCCTCTTTTAGCTTCCTAATCCACTCTGCTTATCTCAGGTTATCTCTGTCAAGTGTTCCTCGTTGTAGATGGATCAGCGTCCATTT